TCGGCCACGCGCGAGCGCGGGAAAGAGCGAAGACGGTGGCGGGTTTTGGGCGGCGACGGCGGGAATGGTGCCGGTCGGGGAAAAAGCAAAAGGGGAGGGAGGAAAAGGGGGCCCTGCCCATGCCATTCAGGGAGAAAGGAGGAGGGAGAGAGGGCTCTGCCTCCGGGAGTTGGACGCACGCGGCTTGGAGTGGCCGGGCACGCGTCGCAGGGGGGGTGTGCGGAGCCGAGCGGCGCAGGCGGCGCAGGCGCGGCAGGGCGGCATGGGCGGCTGCGTGGCGCAGGCTGCCAGGGCTGACGCGGCGGCGACCAGGCAGTCGGCCACGCACGGGCGAGTGCGCGCGCGACGCAGGGAGTGCGGCTGGATTTCGAAGGCGGCGGCGAGAGTTTTGGCGTCGGGGGGAGTTCGTCGGGAGAGAGAGAGAAACAGAGAGGGAGAGAGGGAGAAGAGAGGTGCTGCCTCTCTCTCCCGGCGCATGCAGCGCGCGTGCGGGGAGGAGGAGGAGCGGCCGAGAGGAGAGAACCGGGCTGAGAGGAGATGGGCCGAAGGAGGGAATCGGCCCACAAAAATCCGAGGGACGCAAAATAGACTTTGACAGAGAGATTGAATTTGGAGAGAATTGGGGCTTGGAAATGGAATTTGGATATCTTTGAAGTCGGGCGAATATTTGGCAAGGTTTTGAGATTTGGAATTTGAATTTCGAATTTGATTACTTGGACTCAGGGAAACAGGGAGGAGTCAACAACGGGATTCAAAAAGGGAATTTGATAATTCTAGGACGGGGACAATTATTTGGCGGGGATTCAAAGGGAGGGATTGACTTTCGGAATTAGATTTCGGAGACTTGAATTGGAAGAGGAAATTTGAGGCGGAGGATTTTGATTTCGATGAGAGGGAACAATGGGATTTGAAATGAGATCCTTGGCACAACTTAGACTCACACAAAGAACGAAAATTTTCGCAATTAGGATTTTGCCGAATTAGTTTTTAACGACTCACGAAAAGCGGAGCGTTACACAAAAGTGATGGAAAAAATTGCAAAAAAAGAAGAGAGAAACCACCCACGGATTCACATCCGATTCTCCACAAGATTCAATCATAAGGAAGGCGAAAATCGAATCAAAAAGAGAAAAAAAAGTGCAAAAGGAAATTTCTTTCAAACATTCATCACAAAAAGAAATTTATGAGGGGGATGGAGGAGCCCAGCGTGCCCACCACCGCCACCCCCGACCGCGCTCGTTGATGTCGTGTCCGCCACCGCGCCAGCTTCAACAGCCGCCTGCTAGTACGCCTAACGCCGGAAGAGGGGGATAGAGGAGGAGGCCATGACCGCTGCCGGCGAAGGGAACCTCCGCAACATGGAGAGGAGGACGGGGTGGAGCGGGTGGCCGACCGGAGCGGCTCCCGTGCGATTCGCCCACCATCTCCATCTCCACCGCTGCCGCTCGCGGTGGGGGAAGGCGTCACCGTTGCTGCCGGTGGTGGGGAGGGCACTGTCGCCGCTGCCGCTTGTGCGCGCGCGAGGGGAGGGGGGCGGGCGGGGAGGGCGTCACCACCACCGCTAGCGTGGGGAAGGGCGCCGCCGCCGCCGCTCGTGGGGGAAGGGAAGGGCACCACTGCCACTGCTTGGTGGGGGAGGGTGCCACTGCCGCTGCTCGGGGGATGAACGTTGCCGCCGCCGCCGCCGCTTTTTGAGAGAGAGGATCGGGGGGAGGGGAGTGGGAATGAATTTTAGGGTTTCATGTATATATAGTAGTTTGGGGTCAATCTGGACCGCCCATTCGATAGGACGACTCCGGCTTCTCCCGCGTCGTGTCGCCGGATTATTGGGCCGACAAATGGGCCGCATCTAGCACAGAAAAAGGCCGCGAGTTTGGGCTGGGTTAAAAATCAGTGTTTTCTCTCTCCCTGTTATTTTAAGCATATTTTTATTTTTAGAAATAGAATTAGTACCATTTTAATTGTTTATGTCTGCTTATTAATTTAATTCTAGCTAAATTGAACAAACTAAAAATTTGGCTAGATTTTTCTCACGATATGGATTTATTTTCTGACTAACGTTGATTATAAATTCGTATAAATTTCATTTATGTTCATGTTTCTTAATTATTTACGTCAACAATGATGTAATTTAGGAATTATTTCTGTTTAACTATGTAAATAATTGAGACAACGCAAATTAATTATTCATGTTCATCCATAGGTTTCATGAACATATAGTATTACTCGTTCATCGACACTATAAATTTGGTCGAGTAGAACTGATTAGATCAGACGTTGTATTTCAATTAATTAGTATGTAATATGCTTTAATTCAATTTTCTCCTTTTTTTCTTCCCGTAGCAACGCACGGGCACTTTTGCTAGTATACAATAGTTTTAATCTTGATCAAATTTTTAGGTGGTCCATGGCCCACAGTGCCACCTAGCTAGCTATGCGTCTGCCGCATAAAGCATCTAAAACCAAAACCCGCTACTCAAGATCAAAGCAGAGCACATCATCTCTAAAGAAAACGATATTCTAAATGACACCTCTAGAAAGGATGCGGCACCAGGAGTAACTCCGCCGCCCGCCCTGAGGCGCTAGGACATGATTTAAACCTAAAAATTCATGCAAATAATGCCCCAAGGGAAAAGCAGCGTCCGTAGATGTCGCTATTGCTTGTCTGAAGGGCTAGGCTTCTGCCCGTAAGCTTTCTACCCTCCCGTGTCGAGGTTGCCTGCAAAAAGGGTACCAGCACCACCTGCACACCTTCGACGGATGGCCACCGCGCCAACACCTTGCCATTGGTCGACCTTTGAGTAGGAGCTCAACATCGGACGCGCTCCAAATCGATCCACGCATTTGGGTTGGAGAGGGAGAGGGAAAGAGAAGAATGGATCCCCTCTCCCTTGCACTAGCCCGCCTAACGTGGCCATTTTGTGACAGCAAGGCGCCACCACAAGAGGACTATCATTTAGATTGGAGCCCCCCTCAAGCTTGTAACGCAACCTCACAACACCACCATCGTCAACACATCGACCAAACAGCCCGCATCACCGCCACCTCAGGCCGCTCTTTCGCATCGCGGTCGCCTCGCCCCGTTGCCTCAGCTCCCGCCGCCATTGGACCCGCTGGAGCACTGTCAGCGGTAGTCTTGCCTTGTGCCCGTGCTGCGGAAGCTTTGCCTGCCACCGGCCATGGCCTCCCACACCAGGTCAGTACAGGCACACCCATCGCCAGCAGAGCCGTCGTCGTCGCACCATTGCAAACCACCGCCCAGACTACCACCAAGCCACTGCGGCTCACACCGGAGTGGCCAGATCTGGACTAGGGGTTCTACTTTGTAGCTATAGATGTCCCGTCAATCACCACCACCCTACTCCTTTATGGTCAGCATGTTGCCCCTCCTATTTACTATCTTTGGGATTTTTAAAGTCGAACCTGATTGTTGTTGGGTTTTTCTTTTTATAGCTTTTAGAAGTAGCCACAATTGTTCTATCCAAGTATATGAGGTATAGCGGATCCACGTAAATTGTATACTTGTCGATGTTTTAGATCACGATTACGGTATTTGCATGGTATGGGGATCGTTGGTACCAGGGTATATGCGAAATTGAGGTAAAAGAGGCAGAGATAAGGATTTTTATACAGGTTCAGGCCCCTTATTCATCGAAATCAGGTAATAGCCCTACTCCTGTTGGCCGAAACCGGTGCTGCTCTTATTCATCAGAATCACACAGGTACAATATTTGGGATAACCTATCTAGCCATTGTCGACTTGGTGGCATGGAACACCATCATGTAGTCGACGACAGGGCAGTCTTCCTCCTCGAATATAGACTTGGTGAGATCAGAGATAGCGCTAGATCCCTCTTGTTAGCCTCTGATGGTACCAGATTGGGTCTGTCTAGGTTTATCTCTGATATCGATATCTGGCGGCATGCATTGGTGTCTATTCTGATTGAGCGTGCTGGTCTGTGCTGGCTTGTCTTGGTTTGTCCCTCTCTCCTCCTTGGGGTCTTGTATTTATATCCATAGATGTCCCTTTGTCCAAGTATAATTAGGGAGACAAATATGGATATAATCTGATCAGTCCTCATAGTTTTCATGTAGAACTCTTCTTCTTGTCATTCCTTATCCAGAACTCCATCTATATACGAGGTATGATTCCGTATAAAACTTAGTATATGGTAGGCCCTGCCGAGCTTAGTCGATTACTTTTAGATATGTGTTATTCATAACCTTGACACTACTTCAACTCTATTTTTTCTTTTCTCTGATTAATGTGAGAATTTTAGAGCAGAGCAAACTTATTTACACGTATGGTCTATTTTTTGGCCCTTAGACTTTGCTTGGAGTTCATTTCTCACCTGAATTACAAAACTGGTTATTTTTTCAACAATAACTTTTAAAATCATGCATATAATTTTATGATGGTTCTTTTTATAGACGACATGATATAGTGGTTTAATTTTCGCTAGCATGAATTTTAGTCAGGCAAACTTCATGCTTATAGACCTAATTATGTGTTATTTAATTTTCATCAACAAAGTATGCATAATAAGAGTATAAACTACGGAAACCATCTCCATTTGAAGCAAAACAACTACTAAATACTCCATCCATATTAAAAAAAAAACTTCTGTCTACGAATCTAGAAAGGCTTGTGTCCAAATTCAAATTCAGAAGTTGATTTTTTTTCTTCCAAGACAGAGAGATTATATCCGAAAGTGTTTACCTTTTCAGTTTTGAATTTGAAAGTGAGAATGAAAAATAGACTTTGTAGTTCACGATGAAATATACGCTTTGAGCAAAGTTAAAGGTTAAAATAGGCTTAACCATCTAATAATAACAACAGTAGATTGGATCAATAAACCCTGTGAATGGAAAACTGCTGACAATGTATTGTAAAATAGTGGCGACCACTGGGTTTGTTATCTTTCCCTTCTATGTTTTTTTAGAAGCGTGAGAAGATACTAAACACCCGTGGCCATTTCACCTCAAAATATCACAGAAACTAAACAGCGAACATAATAACTGTCTTTATTAGATCTATTTTCATCGTACAACATGATATGTCCCACGGCCTGCTCCTCTACCTATAGAGGTCTTTATGAGAAGAAAAATCTTATATTCGGATATTTACTCATAAGAAACTTTATGCCTCGGAGATTTGCTAGCTGTGGTTCATATATATTACGAGTACAACACGGACTGCCCGGCGAAAACAAGTACAGTACAACATAAACTGAAAACGAGTACTTAATAATATGCGCAATACCCAAAATCCAAACGAATAGTTCTCCTGATGATGTGATTAAGCATTATATATGCCTCTTGATGACCTGAAGCTTGGCGCCGTTCTTGAAATTGGAGACGATCGAGTACACAAACTCAGGAGGAGACTCCATGCTGGGCGAGGGCCGAAATACGTAATGACGGTAGAAGTGGATCGCTGACAATTTCATCTCCTGTATGGCGAACTTCTGGCCGATGCACGCCCTCGGCCCTATCCCGAACGGGAAGAGCGCGTACGGGTGCCTCCTCTTCTCTTCCTCGCCGTTTGGGTCGAAGCGCTCCGGCCGGAACACCTCTGGCTCTGGGAAATTTTTGGGATCCTTTCCTAGGACACCAGGTGCCATCCACACCCATGTTCCCTGAAAAAACGAATGAAATGTATACTGAAGTAGTACATAAGAGGAAACATGAAAGCAAGCCTGTCATGTCCTATAAAAATGTGAATATTAAGGAAAGACCTAATATCAAATAATTAGAAGGGTGAGGCTTCGAACCCAGATCGTCTAGCCCACCACCTTGTGAAGCTAGACGGAAGTCCCCTAGAAATTTCTCCCTGTCATGTCCTATATGGACTTGTATATAAAGATCGTCGGATGTACCTTTGGAAGGGGATATCCTCCAATTTCGAGCTGTTGGTTTAGTTCCCTTGCTATCAATGGCGATGAGGGGTAATATCTCATCGCTTCCTTCAGGACCTGCATGCGTGCACGATGCGCGGTCAGAAATTCATGTCTGACGATATAAACACGTCGAGGAAGGGTTTGGCGTGCCTGATCAAGGTAGGGGAATTTGGTCTGCAGATCCTCGGCCGTCGGCACGCGGTCGCGGGGTCCGAACCCGTCGATCTCTCTGAGCAGCTTCTCCTCCACCTCCGGGTGCTTGGCGACGAGGTAGAGCGCCGTGGTGAGAGTGAACGCCGTCGTGGCCGACCCGGCGAGGAGGTGCTCGTAAGTGAGCGCGCTGATGTAGTCCGGCGTGAGCAGCTCCCTCGAGGATTTGTTCGACTCTCTCGCCGTGAGCATGACGGACAGGAAGTCCTTGCGCTGCTGCAGCGCCGCCGGGTCTCGCTTCATTGCAGCCGTCCGCTCGGCGACGATCCTGTCAAGCTGTCTCCCGAGCGTGAGGTTCACGCGGTCGATCTCGTGGTCCGCCGTCCAGCGAAGCCTCTTGAGAACCTGCCGGAACGGTTCATGGAGGAACGGCAGGAGCTGGCCGACGATGATGGAGAGCGAGCCGGACATGTCCATTTTTAGAGACGTGGTCGCGTGCACGTGCATCTTGATGAACTCCGATGATGCCTTGGCCTCCGCGCAGGTATCGGCCGCGATCTTGCGGGTGTCCTCGTCGTCGTCCGACGAGGCCAACTTTTTCGACAGGCCAAAGTCCGTTCCGAACGCTGCCTGCCCGAGGACGTCAGTGGTGAAGCTGAGAGAGAGCTTGGAGAAGTTGATCTCCTCTTGGCCCTCGAGATTCTCGGCCGCGCGTTCAATACACGACTCCATGCTGGGGATCAGGGTGGCCAGGTGCGACGGCTGGTAGATGGAGAGGATCATGTTTCGCATAGTCGTCCACCTCGAACCACTGTCGACAAAGAGTACTGATGTTTTATTTGAATGTTCGTGAATTTATAAAGTTCCAACGGGGGAAACTGTTTTAACGGCTCCAGTGGACGTCCACCCATTTATTGCATGTCATCTAAATGGTTATGAAAAAAATTTAAAAAATATGAACAAGATAGATCAATATGTAATATATTAATCCACAAATATGCAAATTAAAATTCAACTTCAATAAATTGTAACAAAAATAACAAACAAAACTCAAATTACTATATGTATATTTACAATTAAATTTGTTATTTTGTTACAATTTGTAGAAGTTAAATTTGAACGTGCATGCTTGTGGAGTGATATATTACATATTGATCTATTTTATCATTTTTTTTGAAAATTTTTCGTAACCATCTAGTTGACATACAATAAACGGGTAGACGTCCATTCGAGCTATTAGAATCCATCTATGTTCCAACAGTAATTAACTACTAACCAAGGATGGAAGCTGGCCCGGTACGGTGTGCATGCACGAACACTTTTACTTCTTCGAGTGATCATTTGAGTTTTATCTTATGCCAAATATCATTAAGTTCGACCATATTATAAAATGCCCCTATAAAAATATACAGTAACATCCATCATTCAATATATTTTTATAGTATATTTATTTTTAACATAAAATGTTAAAAATATTATATTTTTTAAAAAATAATTAAACTTAAAAATATGACATAGGAAAACTTATAATATAAAACGGAGAGAGAGAGAGTACTATTTAAATATTTAAACATTGATGGACCTTTTACCCTTGCTAGATCTTTACATCAGAACTCTTCAGTGCCTACCTGACACAAACAATAGTGTAATAAAACCATTTTACATTTTTGCGAGGGTAATAAAACCTTTTTATGGCTCTACTATATGGCATATGTACCTCCATTGCATATTGCTATGAAAAAATAGAATGGTTTCTAAGACATATGTTCTTGAATGTATTCTAAGACATATTCTCTCTTTTCTTGTAAAAAAATTATAGGCCTAATAATTTGTAAAAGTTCAATGGAACATTATGCATTTCAAATAAGGGACAATTACTAATTTGACTCTATTTCGAAGTCTAACTATCAGTGACTCTTATTTATTTGGCCCTGTTTTTAAAAATTGGGATTACCGTTTGACCATGTTAGAAAAAACAAAAAAAAAATGCATTTATGTGCTGGACTTACAAATATCCCTAAGAACACAATAATCCTATCCCCAATTTCTTCTCATCCATTCATCTTCGGAGACTAGCATGGATGACGGTATCAGTGCGGAGAGAGCAAGGCTGGCATTGTGAGGAGGGAGCAGGGATGGCAGTGACGGCGGCGCGCAGAGAGAGAAGGGGTGGCGGCACGCGTGAGATGGGAGCATGGGTGGTGGTGGCACGAGGAGGGAGCAGTGGCAACAACATCGTGAGGTGGCGGCGGCGACAATGACAGCATGAGGAGGTGGAGGTGGCGGCACGTGGTAGGAGCGGTGGTGTGTGGAGGTAGCGGTGGCGGCGCGCGGAGGGAGAAGCTATAGCATCGCGCAGAGAGAGCAGGAGCGACGACACGCAGTGGAAGCGCCGGAGTGGAGGTCACGACGGCTTGCGGAGAGAGCGATGGCGGTGGCGATCGTGGCGACACGCGGGGAGCAGGGGTTACGATGGTGGTGCACGGAAGAGGGGCGATAGTGGCATGGTTATCTGTATTTTGCTTTATCTGTGTTTTTTTTTCAATTTGGGATGGAAAAAACAATATGATGTGAAAATCTTGTAAAATTTCATTCATAGTTATGTGAGATTTTGTTAATTTTATTTTTGCCAAATTGACGTCAAATTTGTCAGTTTGAAGCCAAATCTGTCAAAGCAATGCTAATTTATTACAAGTTTGTCAAAGGTTTGAATAAAAAAAGCTTTTATGCAGTTATGGTCAAATGAGCAAGGGCAAAAAGAACAATTTATCTCTTAGCTAACACTTTTATCTTGTTTTCACGGAATAGGGTAAGTCTTAATCTTCGATTTTGAAAAAGGGTTAAATGTACAAACTTGAAAAAGTGGGGTCAAATTATTAATTGGGCTTTAGAACAGAGTCAAATAGAAAATTGCCCCTCCATATAACTAATGGGTTATGGCCGATCACGCTCAAAGGAATCAAACAAAAATACTACAGGCTCTTTAAATTTATTTTTCTAAATTTTAATAATTTCGAATTTACAGTTAATAAATTTATTTTGTCAATTCAATTCCGAAATTCAAATTTAAAATAGCATTTTATAACTGGAGCTGACTTTTATAAATCTAACTAAACAGACAGAATTCAAAAATATAACCAATATATTTATTTTAATATTTATAACATTAAGAATACTAGCATGTGCAACATACAACTAGTAAAATTTAATTCTACTTTTAATTTAGCTCCAAGAAAAGTTATGGATAAAGTTCTCTGGTCTTTATTATAAGAGAGTATATATGAAGAAAATCCAACAAGTTCGCTCCAGACATATAAAAAGGTATCATGTTATCCTTAGAAAAAGAGAACTACAAATATCACTTAATCGAGTTGGGTCAAATTATAATAACTGTGTAAATTGGTAAATATAGTTTTATACAAAATATACTCGCAAATGGGGAGGCCCGAGAGGTATTGTGGTGGATCATGTGTGTATGGGTCCGTACACTAGGATTTAAATACCAGTGTCTATAAACATGTGGGTAAGATTTTAGTAGAAATTTAGTGAAATAAATATGTACTATACGTACTTAAGGATGCGCATTCATAGTATATGTGTATCTTTCATGCAATAAAAACATGTATACATATATATTTTTCTTTTGGATGTAGAAGTGAGGGATGTATATCAAATCTATTTAAATTTAGCTTCAGGTAAAATTGCGCGAAATAAAGAAAGTAAAGCAATCAACTGCTAGTTGCTACTACCTTGTGAAGAATAGGCCCTTCTGATGAACAGGAGAATTGGTAATGGGTGAGGGCATACTTCGGTTAGGGAAGTTCTTGAATTTCTTCACGCCCACTTCCTTGCACAACTCAGCATCCGCCACCATGACCAACGGTTGCCTTCCCATGTGAAACCTACAAGCAAAGTAAACTAGATCCAGTTAGCAATAGACCCTGGTATCCTCGTCATCTCTGAGCTCTGCATTAAAGAAACAGAAGAAGCAGCAAGCAGAGAAGCCAGTTACCTGAAGATGGGGCCGTACTTCCTCGTGAGCACTGAGAACACGTCCGGCCCGTGCATGGCGAGCAGGTGGAGGTGGCCGATGAGCGGCAGGGGCACGGGACCTGGCACGTGCCGCACTTTCCAGTATGGCTCGTACAAGTAGCCTACCACCAGGAAACCCACAGCCATGGCCACCAAGGTGACCGCGTACTCTGCCAATATTGCGCCCAGCACTGTGCTGATCTCCATCTCAACCCTTCCGTTCCCTGACTTCCTCTTTGCCTCACTCTCGCAGTTGATCGTAGTGTGCCAAGCGTTGCTGGTTAAATAGGCTTGTGAACCGTCCAACAGTGTAGATGGAGATAAGCATTGAGGTATCGTTCAGAGGCATCTTTGAGAGGCGTATGGTTTTGGCTGTATTAGTTTCTCCTTAATGATGTTCTAAAACAACCATAATTAATCGCGTGCAGCCAATGAGTACATCGTGACAAATTGATCTTTGTTTTCTTCAGTGGGGTATCTGTCAGATGCTAATGGTGGTGGGTTCATGTCCGGAGTCCTGACGTGTATGCACGAGAGAACCCATTGTCGCGTACTTACACGTAACTATTCTAAACGCTCGAGGGGATGCCATCTCATTGTTTATATGTCATTAATATAAGAAAATCTGAAGTAATTTAAAAAATTTATCAACATGTGATATATATCACTCCACAAACATAAAAGTTAAAATTCAACTTCTACGTGTCACAACTAAAAAACCAAATTTGACTGTGAATATACGTTAACTAGCCGTAGTTTAATTTATTTTTTTCGTTGCGATATGTATAAGTTAAATTTAAACTTACATGATTGTGAAGTGACATATAACATATTAATACATCTTTCTCAATTTTTTTCATAACTATTTGAGTAACATGCAAATAACAGTTTAAAATCCACCCTCCGTGCTTGCATGAGTTCGTCGATGCATGATGAAATAGGTCCCGTGTATTTGTTGGCACTCATAAATTCTCGCGCAAAAAAGTAAAAAAAAATCCAAAAATAGCAGAATTTGTTAGTTCCTACTTAGTTACGAATATGAAAAATATGTAAAGAACTGGCACTTAAAAAATGGAGATAGGAAGAGATATAAATATGCAAGTCTTGTGTGTGACAATGGGTGTCAAATTCAATTGAAATAAGGTATCAATTTCATTGAGAGGACATCTTGAAAATCGTCAAGGAAGGTAATCGGATAATCTAAAACTTGTTAATTAAATCGGTATGATTGAATAACTTGCCTTATCTTTGTGCATCTAGACTAAGTTTCATTTCTTTCTAATTAGCCTAGTTTACAAAATGTTGTACCGAAATGCTTGTTCAATCAATAAGCGAGTATTAGTCACAAAATGGTGTCTATGGGAATCAAAGTACTCGGAGACCTTATTCTAGCTATGTGAATTTTGTCTTAGTGTTGGTATATATTTCTTAACGTCACAAATAGAATCCACAAGCGCACGGAAGATATCAATACAGCACTTCACTCTAGAGTATTCCAAGGCATCGATTTTCACAGGGAATGTGTATGTCAGCACGGAAGATACCGATGAACATGTATGTCAGCTCTTCTCCAGGTTTATCCAAGGACACAAAGCTAAGATAGGCTAAGAGAGGATTTACTAGCGAGAGACAGTGTCTACAGAAAGCTTAATTTAATCCTAACATGGTACTTCAGGCGCTGGCCAGCCCGCTGCTCCCAGATATGGCTCTACAGCGTAACCGGGTAGGGAGGACTTTAGTGTACTTAGGGTTGTGTTGATGTAAAAACACGAGGCCTGAGAGATCTGCTTAACTCCAGTGCAGGTCAAATTTGGTTGTTAACAGGTTGCCACCACCTCTTCACCTACCTCAAACCTACTATGGGATACGAAGGAAATTAACTACCCAAACACCATGTCTACACCGTTAATAACTACTTTAATGTTTATAACTCACTAAAGCAATCACTATATTTTAATGGACTATAATGAACAATGATCCCATACGTTGATTAGGAACTAACTAAGAGGTAACTCTCATAGAATAAATCTTAATTCCTCAGAATGATATTTGATTAAAGTAGAGTAATTGCCAGAGTAAAATAAATAAGAAGAGGATTATCGACAACTCTGGAATTCCTCCGACTTCCTCTACTCCACCTCTCCCTAATCTAGTATACAATAAAGTAGAATAAAGCCTCTTGTAATTAAGCTCAAGCTTCAAGTGTGTTGTGAATGAGGGAGGAGAGAGGTATTTATAGTGTGGAGGTAACTTGAGAGAGTGGAGATCCTCCAAGCATCCAAAGAGCATCTTCTCTCTTGTGTTGCCAAGTGTCCATGCTTATGACAGTTTCTACTAGTGAAAACGGCCATTTTCCAAAGAGCATTGGGAAGCGGTTTTCTACTGAACGCAACCTGGGCTTGGGCCAGTGGCCTCTGTCAAGGTTCGGCAGAACTCAGAGTTCGGTCGATCCCTAGCCGGCTCCGTTGGCCCCAATTTTCGGCTTGGACACTCATTTTGGGCCCCTCATTCTATTGGTATGGATGTTTGGCCCATTTGGAGGTGTTTAATTGGGTTTTTGGGTCCAAAACTCCATAAGTTCGGATGCGAGTTTGATTCTCATCCTCCTTCATGTATATTTCTTCTCAACTTAGATAGTTTGTCACCTACATATGAATATACACCAACACTCGTGGAAATTATTAGAAATAAATCCTACCACTATGTTGGATGTTTTATATTTATGGTTTAATGCAGCTATTGATGGCGAAAATTTGGTACTTAACAGCCATCAACACTTAGCAAAATCTTTGGGATTCATGTATACTAAATCCGTTTGCGATATGCTTTGTGAAAATTTGTGTGAGTTGTTCTTTTTAAAACTCTTGAATCTCACTCAAGTTTGTGAAGAAGTGGTTTGGCATGTTCAAATCTCGATGATCCCCCATCATTATATATCATATGCTCTTCTTGCCATGCTTAAATGCCAAAGTGGGAGAGGAGAACTAAGGGGGAGGGATACATTAAATGAAGAAAATAAGAATGTCCTTGACATGCAAAGGGGAGACTTTTTGTTCTATGATTTAAACCCTTTGGATGTGAGCTTTTTATGTGCAAAATTTGTATCTCAATGCTTATTGATTTACTTGTGATCTTTGTGTCAATTTGATGTTCATTACCTAATCACAAGTGATGAAATATAAAATTGAGAGGAAAATACTCGATGATTCCTCATCAATTATCCCTTTGCTTTCCTTTCCTTACTTATGCCTTAGTTTTTAGATGTCAAAGGGGGAGAAGTATATTAAAGGGTATAAAGAATTATTATAAAGGGTGAGATAATTGTGAGAAATTATCAAAATGCATGCTTTGAAAGATGCCAAAGGGTAAATGAGAAAGGGAGAGAGAATATTTGAAAATGTTTATCAATTAGCGTGCGCATGGTGTGATGGATTCAATGCGTATTATTTGATCACCATGCCACATGCAAATGAAATTATATATTTATACTTGAAATTGATTATGAAATTTGGTTATTCGTGCTTTATAAATTGGTACCGGAATCAATTGGCATAGAATCAAGTTTTTGCAATCAGCGAATGAAATTTGAAAATATAGTGTTCATTCAATTTTTTCTTAGAAATATTCCATATGCAATATTTTTAGTAGAAATATACCACCGAATCATTGAATCATTGCGCGAGAATGACGTGGACATGACGACGCGGGAAGTCTCGCGCGACAACGGCGCGAGACCGTGCAGTGAAGTTGCGAGACCGCTTGGTCTCGCATAACCAACAAGCGAGACCACAACAGCAGGTCAATTCAAATTGATTAATTAGTGATTAATTATCTAATTAGCGATTAATTAATTTTTTCTAATAAGATAATTAATCATTAATTACTATTAATTAATCAATGTTTTGGCCGCGGTCGTTGTCGCTATGTTGGCCGCATTGTCGCTGTGTATCCGCGCGAGACTGCTCGGTCTCGCGTCTTCCCCGTGCACGTTATTCTCGTGCAATGGTTCAGCGTATCAACATTATAATTCTATCAAAAAAAATACTTTCTGGATATTTCTGAGAAAAAAATGAACAATATGTTTTCAAACTTTTGCCTGCAATCAACATCAAGAATTTCATTTGATACATTTTGAATCGATACCAAGAATTTGAATTGTAAGTTTTTTTACTTTTGGTATCTCTTGTCACACACAACACACCCCACTAACGCCAAGAGTTAGAGGGAGCTCTCACATTCTAAAATATATATGCATATGAGTTCACTTCATATATTTGTATGCACAAATTGAGGGGAGCTCTTTGGATTCAAAATCATTTATTATCAATCTTTGTAAGCTTTAATCATGTTGTCATCAATCACCAAAATGGGGGAGATTGAAAGAGCATCTATGCCCCTAGTGGGTTTTGGTTAATTGATGACAAACGATTAGGGGAATAGTGTGCTTATTGAGTGTATAAGCAAAGGATTAGTCTGGTGAAGAACTGATAAAGATGATAAAGAATATGCAATACAATGAGTTTTCATTGCAATCCAAGGCCACAAGTGACGGAAGATGGCTAGATGTGGTGAAGGGTTGGTAAGACTTGGCTACGTAGTGGACTGATGGACCATGCATAGGAGAAGGGCAAGCGGAGACTTGGCGCCAAAGGACCTGACGTAGTGGTGAAGGAGCAAGTGCTTGGCCGAATACCGTTGAACCGATCGAGGCCATAGGATGTCACAAGTTGCTGACGATCAATCCTTGTTGAAGAAGAAGTGCAAGATGAAATGTCGAAAGATCAAGAGGATATGATTCGTTGATGATCAAGTCAAATTTTGTATTAGCATTGTTCAAGGCAAAGAAACAAGAAGACATAAATGTATTCGTATTGGTATAGCTTTTCAATTTGTTCTTGATTTGGTAGGAAAGCCATACTATTAAGAGGAACGTGGCCTTGATGTCTAGTGATGAGTTTGGAGCTCAAAATCTTTGTTGAAGTGGTTCTCACTCTTGGGTTTGTGTACTGGAGTTTTCTAAATTTGATTTAGGAAGTTCCCGAATTGGTTTTTGCCTTCGAAAAATGGTAATGGTCTTTGTTAGAAGTTCTCAAAAGTCATTTTGGAAATTCCCGAACTACTTCGAGTTTACAAAAACGGTACTGGTGTTTTTCGGAATTTTTGAAAATTGCTTCAGAAATTCTCGAAATGCAGTGTTGGCGCAAAATCAGTACGGGTGTTTTCAGATTTTTTTCCGAAATGCTTTTTTGCCCAGTTTTCTGCTGTGCTCGTGCTGGAATTTTGTACTGTTCGGAA